GGGGGGGGGGGGGGGGGGGGGGGGTTGAAAGGGAAAGTCCTACAGCATAGGGCTTTACAAAGTATGAATAAAGGGGGTGAGTTTCGAACTTTTGCTTAGGGCTTGGAAACTAGACAGACTTTGAACTTGACATGATAACCAAATATCTGTGGGAGATATTGGGTTATCGTATCAACTTCACTTGCTGTTGTATACTGAATTTATGCTCATAGTTTTCATAGGGTTAGCCTAACCCTAAGCAAGTCTAATGTACAATAATGTCGATTGGCCACTATAAAGAGTTTCTAAAGCTGATATTTCCAGCGCTAGCCCTCATCAGAGCAAAAGTGTGATCCTGATGTAGAAAATGACAATGAGAAGATGCAAAAAGGAATATTTTACTGGGCCAGTGTCTCCCAATTTGAGGGTCACTATGGCTCTCCTTAACCTCCCCTCCTTTACAGATACAGATTACACTTGCGATTATAATGCAATTGTATTTTTGGGTAAATGCAAAATAATTAACCTCTAAGTTGTATTTTAACATGATGTCCTTAAGCATAGAGAGATTGATTCTATAAGTAGTCAAGAAGTAAATCCTTCAGTATCAACCAATGATTGAAATAGCAGTTTTACTGAATAATTTAGAGGGCTTACTATTTAATATGGGTAATTGATATATATAAGATTAATAATTTGATATTGTAAATTACAATAATGAATTCAATATTGTTTACCAGGTTCATGCAGCCGTGGAGGTTCTCTCACTGGTGATTGTCTTTGCTGGACTTGCTGTAAAACTGAAATGGCAGGGAGCAAAGTTTTTCTTCTCCTATAAGAGAACGCGTTTCACGGTACATTACAGTGCTACTTTGGTTGTAACATGCATTAATTTTCCATCACAAAGGGTTGATAGAGGGCTTTTCAAGTGAAAGTATAAAAAAACAAAGCCAAATTAATTACAGCGACAACCAGAAAAATGAAAAAGAAATTGCCAGAAGCTGATCAGGACTTGAATTAAAAACAACCAGAATGCTTAGAGGATGGAACTAAATGTGCACAAGCTATCACACTGCAATTGGTTGAAGTCTTACATCTGATTCATTGAGAAGGTAGTAAAACTTTTATGGACCAATCACCAAGTGAGTGAATGTAATCTTGGATTGTTCTCAACACTTGATTGAAATTTCCCTATCTGGACAAACTGGGTGTGGATGTTTAGCAAGATAATTAGCACCATTATTATAATTGTAATTAGAAAGGATGTGAGACTCAGAGGGAGTACTTAGTTTGATAAAAATGACAGGGATTCTTACTATCTAGAACCTCTTAAGTATTATAGATCGATATGGGTCTGGCAATATGTTTTTTGGCTTGCTGAAATACCAATCCAACTTTAAAACAATTCAAATGTTTCACCTACCATCAGGTTTTTATCTGGTGCGTGGTATTTATAGAAGCCATTGTGGTGCTGGTGAGAAGGGAGAATCATTTTCGAGTAACAAGATCTCTGCGCCCACTCTTTCTTATTGACACGCATTACTGTTCTGGGGTGAGAAGGTGAGTCTCATTCTGTAAGTTAAAATTGAAGTTAAAATTGTCACTGTGGTTTGTGTAAATAAATTTTTTGTTTATTGTTCCAACCTCAGAGTATTAACAGGATCCAAAAATCTCTCCAGGAAGAATTTTCCCACCAAATTCGTGATCAATGGTGAAATAACACCATCTCAAAGATAGATGTTAGGGAGGGACCAGTTTTGGGGTTCACTGTTCAAGGGCTACAGATCAGTTTATCTTGGGGATCACCCTATAAAGAGTACCCTCCCAATCAGGGGAAACGAAGCTGTAACATACCCTGATAAGAGAGCACTGGGATTGGTAATCCACCAATTCAAGACGTTGGCAGCAAAATGTCTTTGGCTGTTTTGAACTTCTATTTTCTGAAATGACTGTTATTTCTTCCTGTTGTTTGAATGAGATTCATGCACTCTCTTTTACTTTGAATTTTTAGGGTTCTCAGACAGATTTTACTTTCACTTCCCCCAATCCTGTACGTGCTCTTTCTGCTGTTTTTTATCATGGTAATCTTTGCTATGTTAGGTAAGAAATAAGAAAAAAGTTAGTATTAGAGAAGTATGCTCCAGAAATCAGTTGTTAGCTTTTATGTTATTCATTAGAAGGAATGATATATGAAAGGCACTGGTTACCAAATTCTGAGATTGATTAGAGTTAACTCCATGAATTCCTAAATTAAATGATTTGTGAAGAATAGTTATCTTGGAGTGTAGATTGTAGAAATTGTTTTCTAGTTTACTAATCATTCTTATAACAGTTGAAGAGACATTTGGCTCAGATGTGATCTACCATCTTTTAGCATTGTTTTATGAATCAACATTTCACTAACAGTTTCTGTAATGGGGCCAACACTGACATATATCAATCTAACAACACTGCGTCAGAGAAATTTTTTATATTGACGGAACCTCCAAGTGTCTATTAAATCT